CAATCGTATAGATTACGTTTTGACGGAAGAATAATACGAGAATAATACGAGAATAATATGAGAATACGCGAGCGGTGAATACGACGCGACAATACCTGCAAAGTACGTCTCGCTGAATGATGCAACGAACCGATTCGACTGACGGAGCAAAACGAAAATCGCGCGGCCAACTTCATGCGGAACTCATCGCGACGGTGATACGTTAACTTCAGATCGCAACTTTCGCACTTTGATTGACGAACAGTACATTGCTATTATTTCAATGTTTATTGTCTCGCATGCGCGTGTTATGACGCACAAAAATAAACATCCGAAAAATTGACAGTATAATAAGTTGGCTACGGACTGCAATATCTAAATGAAGATAGTCATTGCAGTTGCCAAGTCTTCGAAAGTTATTAATAGTTTAGCTGTAATTTTGGATGTTTTTTTTATATTTTTTTTTCTTCACAAAAAAGTCATTCGGGAATTCTCCTAAACTTTTTGTACCTCTAAAAATCTTTCAGTAAAAAAAAAAGGTTTGATAGAAATTCTACTAAATTGGCAACACTAAATGTAGCTTTTTATTAGAGGCTATTTTCAGCTAGATAGTAACCCTTTATTAATTGTTCGCGTGATAAATTCTCGAACTCAAGCAAAATAACCCAGCAAACAGTAACTAACAATATCATAAATGTCATAAGTTATAATTTACGATATGCGATAACGCAATATAACATATTACAGTTATATAATAGTTATACTGTTGAATGGAAAATTATAATATAATGATTATTGTTAGTTGATGTTTGCTAGGAACTCTCACGATAACATCAAGGTGCACTAGAAAAAATATTTTATTCCATAAACCAAAATTTCGCTGTAACAAAAAAAAATTGAAATGTACTTAGAAAGATTTGAAAAATGTGACAGAATAAAACTATTTTATACGAAATAAATTAAAAATGATATAAATAAATACTTTTATTATTTTTTAATATTTTATTATTTTTTTCTGAAGTAGAAAAATGTATTTTGTAGAAGCAATTAAATTCTTTGTTATACGTATAAACAAAATATTTTATTATTCTTAAAAAATGCTTCATTTATTTGCCTAAACAATTTCGAAAGTATTAAATTTTTCTTTCTAGTGATACATTAAAATAAATCGTAAATGATTGAAAAGTGACTTTTAGTAATTATTTTGGAGCCATTTTGATATCATTTCAATGTTATACACTGAGAAAAATTTTTAGGCGAAAATATATGAATCAGAAAATTCTGATTATATCCTCAATTAAAATTATAATAAACGTAATCAGAAAATTTTAATACCCATTTTCAACTATAATTCCAATTAATGCGATCAGGCTCTTTCCAGCGTGATGATTTGTGTTCTGTATCTCTTTGAAACATACACTTTGTGAATCATGCGTGTCGATAGAATGCTTTCATCCAATAAAATGCTTTTATTTATTGGCAATCAACGATCTATCGATTCAATAATCATGGATCGCGCATTTTTGCAGCATCCCTGTTGCAATGATCGATCAATCCGGCAAAACGAGACACTCGGCCGGAGCGATCTGGTCGGATCTGTATTACCGCAACGTTTGTCATAGCCACATAGCTGCGCGCATCTCGAGCCTCGCTCGTGTTATTGCTACACGGGCGATAATAAATCGTCGATTTAGCAAGCGGCGTCTCTTTCAGCGTTCTCTTTCAGCAATCGGTGAGAGCAACATCGTAGGTGTCGGAACCGTTTCGTGAAGTTCGCACACGCACGGAGATTCCTCTCCGTGCGATTTGTCATACGCGCGTGCTAATTGGACTACTGATGATCCACCGGTGAAACGCCGGTCGTTGATAGCAATTGTCTGTTTACAAATAACACATCTTACGAGAACCGATTGCCAGCCGGAATTATAAGTGCGATTTGCAAATAAGGCTGTGGAGAATTTGCGAAACTCTCGCCGATACATTGGTCTAATTCTTCAAGTCACCTAATTGATGTCTTTGTATATATAGTAAATATATATAGTAGTTAATGGAAATGAGAATCTTTGATTAGTGAGACAGGGGATTAATAAAATAATATAAACGTAGTACGCAATATATTTAAGAAATATATTCCATACTTGTTTTATTAATAAGAAATTGACCTATTATTTATTCATCTTTAATATAAATTTTATTCTTGCTGGAATAGAATTATGTTTGAATAATGTAGGGACTACTGTAATATTACGCTAATTTTTATTACTTCCTGTTGTTGTATATTATTATCTGTTATACAGAATAACAGGAAATAATATTTCTTATTATTTCTTATTCTAGATTATTATATATAAATAATAGTTATTACTTTTCTATTATAGAATAATAGGAAAATAATTGCTATTATTTTTCTGTTATTCTTCTAGCAAAATATCTTGTAATTGTTTGAAAGATATTGAAAGAAGAAATCTATATTCCACTCTGCTCTTTAAAACCACAAATAATACTTGAATCGGGTGATTAAATTGATCAGAAAAATATTAAAATTTTAAAGAAGAACAGGGGATAATTTTGGAAAATGGAGTAAGAAGAATGTTTTATTAATAAAAGGTTGATCTTTCATTTGTTTTTAGTACACATTCTGTCCTTGATGAAATAATCATATAATGTTTGAGTTGTTATCATCGATATTATTAGATACTCATATTGAGATACTCATATAGAGAAGAAAATTTTTTTTTGTAATATTATAAGCAATTGAAGGATGTTCTTTTGAAAAAAATAATACAACATTCCATTAGTAATAATAAGAATCTTATTTTAGACCGTACATGTAATACAAACTACTAATTAAATGCCTATACCGGTCGAAGCTGGATTTTTATTCCATTAATAACAACTTATACATGGTGTAATTATTTTAACAAAAATAGATGCATTAAAAACAAAAATGAGCCAACCTCTTATTAATAAAACAAGTAGTAATATAAATAGTAGTAATATAAATAGCGTATTGACGAAGAGTTCATGTTATTCTGTATTTAATAACATAAGTAAATCTTTTGCGTTTCCAATACATTAATTTATTGGAATTGTATTTGATATATTACGCTTAATATATTTGATATATGATATTTGGCTTCTAACAATAATTACTAGAAAGCATTAAACTAAATAAAAAAAAAATGTTTCACACTCATGATTTATTATATCGCTTATTAATCATCTTATTAGTCATCAATCTCTTTCCGAGCAGCGATCGCGCGAATCTTTTTTCATCAATGAGCGAGGACTATACGTTCCAATAGGATTCTCTTTTCATCATTTTGTTCCGCGTGTGCTATTAAGTTATTATACTCTGGCCGCGTGTCGCAACACTGTACTTCCAGTTATAGGCAATGAAACGGAACCCAAATTACGAACTCCCGCTATTAAAAATTATTGATTATATTATACGTTGCGTCACCTCGCGTTTAGGGCAACGTGCGGCACCTATGCTTAGTTAAGATCGCAGCGCGGAAAAGAAGGAGAGACTAAGATAATCCAGCCTAAGATAATCGCGTGCGAATAAGAATATAATGCAGCCAGCTATGAAAAGCGTATCTCTCGTATAACGAACACAAGATAGACGTTTCAGACGTAAAAAAAGAAAAAAACCACCGGACTTCTTCAGCTCCATGTTTCCCTCTCATACTTTCTTCGGTGAACTTTCGTTTCTTCTTCGCGTTCAATCGATCATTCCTTTATAGTCAATGGTCTTCCTTATGTGCTAAATATGGGATGCTTGAATAACGTTGCGCACGCAAAGATTTTTCTCTCAGTGTTATAAACTGGCGTAACATTTATATGCATTTTTTAAGTTACAGCTCGAAATGCATCAAGAAGCGATGACGTACTGAGAGAACGTGTTCGCCAGATATTTTATAGTTTCAGCTTCACCTTCCTCGTCTTTTTAGGACTGCTTGAAATCGCACGTCGCCGCGAAACGATCTACACGTACATCATCGACGATACCGTCATTTTCACTCCTTCGTATATGGGCAGATTGTGTCCTCGGCCTAGAAATCATGGTTACACTCCCAATGTATCTACGGATTATAGCGAAACGTATTCCGAACAAATTGCTTCTCGAATATTGCCTGGATATCCCAGATCGACATTCATACACATCTCAGAATTCGTTTCGTAAAATTTTTTGTGCTATCTCAAGTTCATTTTTCTATAGAAAAATTCTCGATTGTTCAATCACACCAAAAAGTTTCTCTTTATGTCCATTCCTATCAATGTAAATTAACTTTAATCTCGGTTTAATTTATTCTTTATTTTTTTTCTCTAATTATTAGAACTAAAAAGAGATAAAAAAATAAATTAAACCAAGATTAAAGTTAACTACATTAGTAGAAACAGTTTTAGCTAATATAAGACTTCGTTAATTTACATTATTAATTGTCCTAAATTGAATTGAACTCATTCTTCTAAATATTGTATTTAATTTTGAAACAAAATCGATCCTCTCATTGATACCAATTTAGAATGACAGATATTAACGACAGTATGTTGATCCGTTCGTATCCTTCGTCGATTTAGTTATCTAGTTTCTAGTCGACAAGTGGGCTTCTCGGGTGAAGCTGAGCGTGTGACGAATAACAAGCGAGCAATTTTCGATCGCACGTTCTCTGCTTACTGATGGTCCTCATTGGACTTACTTTTGGAGAAAGGACTTAGAGAAGTGACGTGATGATTTTCGAAATTTCACTTAGATTGCTTGCGAAACAAACAACTCATCCCGTATTCATTATGTACTTGTTTTTATTGTGTACTTGCTATAAATGCCAACATTCCATTAGCTTATTTAACATATAATTTTTCTATGTGCGAAATATGATTTTATGAAAAAGTTTCACGCGAGATGTCAAAAAAAACCTTCAATCTTCCAAAATACGATATTACTCGCGTGAAAAATCTCTTTGAAAAATACACAGTTATCGCATATTTCTACGTCTCGTTAAATTCGAAGCTTATTCGATATTTCCAATTTTACGATATCCCCGTTTCAAATGAACCGACTGAACGCGCAGCGTTCTGTGTTCTCACACAGAATATTTGATTATCCATCCGAATCGCTCCAGTCGGATCGCTTGCACGAGAGTTCACGTGCTCGAAAGCTCGTGCGCAATGCTACGTTACTCTCGCTGATCGCTGCGCTCGAGAGGAGCCAGATGACACCAAGGCCAGGCGGCGCGAGAGATTTCTCGCAGTGAGAACGCCGAGTTCACTCGCGAAAAAGAGAGCGAGAGAACGTCCGAGACGAAAAAAGAGCCCCCTCGTTAACAGAGCCTGACCAGGGTCAATTGCGAGCGGGACATCCCTGATGGGTTGTCTGATCCTTCAGAAAATCATCAGATCCTTCAGTCCCCACCAATATACAATTCCTGACGAGGCCCCTCCAAGATAGTCTCGTCTCCTTACGTCCCCCCCTCGTCGGCATTTGCCTCCCACGTTCTCCATGGAGTCTCACCTGGTCGGTAGCATCCTCCTGCACTCCCGACGAGGACTTTCTCCGAAAGACGGCCAACTATATAAGCGAGATGCACGCTGTTTGAAGCACGTTAGACGAAATCGCACGGGTGCGTCGAGCAGGCCACGTCGAGCCGCCGCGCCCCGATTGCATCTATATTTTTCCATTCGTAAGTTCACCCCGCATATACGCGACACGGTAACTTGGGAGAGAAAGAGGGAGAGACAGCACTTTCGTTCGTACGAAACGGAAATTCGTGCATGTGACTCGGCGCCGAGGAACGCCACAGAGACCTCTACGAGACTTCGATCGTCGGGGACCATGAGGCCCGCGAGAAGCTGGGCCCCGTTGGCAGTGACCGCGCTGGTCGCGACGGCTCTACTGCTGAGGCCCATCCACGCCGATGGTAAGATCTAAGAAGGGTCCTCATGTCCATCGTCATCCGACGTTAATCCCCTTAATCCCCAAATTCCCTTAGGCCTGTTCTTTTTGGCTGAATTTTTGCACCAGTTCATCTTTCTTCCTCTTCTCTCTTACTGGAGAGATGCAAAAGTTCAGCCAAAATAAACAGGCTTCTTGATTCTTGAGATTCCCGTACAGTACGAATTTCTGAGGAACGTTCTAAAAACATCCAGAGGATGTCTCCACACTGAAAAAAATTATGTCATATCAAGCATTATTTTAATTAAAAAGAATTTTATTACAATTTAATAACACTAATGAAACAAATACGCCATGCTCTTGTTTTAATAAAATTTTATTGATTTTATTAATACTATTGTTAAATCAATGAAATTATTTTCAAAATAATGCTGTTGATGCGTTTTTTTTTCACTATGTATACTCTGAATGTTTTGAAGTTCCCAGGATGTTTCTCGGATAAAGTATGTTATATGGGTTGCTTTCCGGGTTTTTAAATTTGGAACTTAAACTTGACTTATGCGAGTTTTTATCGGTGATGAGAAAAAATATGCATTATTGTGATATGCAGAATAGAGGAATGCAACTGAACATGAAATTAAACTTATAACGAAGAAAAGCTTTCGGAGTCTGTTAATCTTTTATGGAATGGGACAATTCTTGTATCAAGATGAAGAGAGATCTTGTGAATATCTAATTATTCTTTCATATTCAATGGAATAAAACAGAAAGAGAAGAAAAAGAAACATGAGACGACCGTATAAATTTTTCGCGAGAGTAAAAGTAGTCTTAAGAAAATCGCGTGTCGGAATTCTGCATCGGAAAGCGAGATAAATTAATGACTTTGAGGGAAAGAATGTTTTTATAATATTAAAGTTGCTCGCTTCACGTTAGCCTTCTAGCTTCTCTTTCTCACGCATTTTATAATAGCTTATTAAATTCATTGTAGTAAAAAAAAAGGAGGCATTGAGGTAAAATCTCTCGTCGCTGGCGCACAAGCTTTCAAGTAAGGTCTTCAGTAGAATACAATTTAGAAGGGGATGCGTTATAAGAAACGCACTTTATGTCAATATAAATAGTAATTTCACGGTTAAAGTACGCATTACGTAGCGAGCGTGCGACGTAACATTTTTACCTTAATGAATGCCGCCACGACGGATCTGTAATTTGTCAGCTTGTCGGAAAACTTATTAGAAAGTCCACTGTTGTCCCGCAACGCGTTGTAATATGTGAATAAAAAATGGAGTTTGCGCGACGATTTGACAGTTTTCACTTTTAGCTATTAAACACGTTGAATCAGATTTTTTTATTAAGATTATAATCGGCTTTTTGAATTTAAATTTTAAATATAAGTAAGAAAAAATGCTGGTGAAAAGTTAACTTCTTCTCGATATATTCCCTGCCGCCCTAAATCGACATAACGAAGTGCTCAATCAAAAGATAAAATTAAAACGTAGTTGAGCGTTAAATCTTGATAGTCATTCTCTGTGTTTTCAAGCGTAAACACGTTATAAGTCTTTTATTATATACCTGCTTTAAGTTCTGATTAAAACGTTTCATTTTTTATCTCTCGAATTAATTTATGTTTCCGATTAGGTTCAAGCGTGCCCGTAGGCGTATTACTTTACGCAGTTTCATCACACGCCATCGGTTAATTATAAGAAAATCTTTAATAACCAGCATTTTCGCCATTCAAGCAACGAGATGTTTTTACATTATGGATTATCTTAATTTATTCATCGGATATTTTTTTTTTAAGTTTACTCGATCACTCGAGCGTTTTTCTTTCCCTCGAGTAATGCAGGCGATTTTGTGAAATTGGGACGCATGAAAAAGTAGAAGCTGTGTGCACCGGGCTTGAAATAGTCAAGTATTAGGGAGACGCGGACTATCGGACGGAGCATCTCTCAGCAAATTGCGCATGGCGTGTTGAGATCGTTGTATAAATCAGAACATTATCAGGTGCGATCTAGCGTAATCTAACTCGCGCGAGCATGCAAGTCGAAACTTCACCGCGATTGTTCCGATTTTCGATTTTAACACGTGTAAACGTCACGCACCCACACGCGAGTCATTGTTTAAATGCCGCGCGTGCGTCGGAGATTATTGCGGTGTTTTGCCAGTGGTTGTTTAATGGGAAAATGTTAACAAATTAGTTTTCTCAAAATGAAACAATTGATAAAGCGGATTTTAGTTTTTATTTCACGTTATATTATTTTGTCCCGCTTTTTATACGTCCACCTTTGTTCTATTTTAAAACTTTGTTTTATTTCATTTTTTACCGCGCGCCTCTCGTTTCGACTCGCTTTATTTTACTCCATTTAATCTTTATATGTCGCAAACTGAAGGTAATTGTTTTCTATTTGTTATCTCTTCAGCGCTGTTCAAGTTTTCAGTCGTACGAATTATTTATCTCTTTTAAATCGAAGCGAAATCTTTAATAAAATTCCTTCCTTTTTTAAATCTCGAGAGATTAAAATGAAGGAATTAAATGTCCACTTGTTTAACCATTAATGGTCATATGGAATCAAATTGACCACAAAAAAAATTTTGATGTTCTATATCTTTAATTAATGTATCTCTGGTTGATGTAATAATCAATCCTTCATGCGATAATATTTCACACTCCTTTTTTTTCAAAAATTAAAATGACTTTTTTTTTATTTTAGAATAAATATTTTTTTTGGAACGCCAACTATTTTTTTTTTTTTTTTTTTTTAAAGTCTCATATTTCTGTAGATAGCCATAAATTTTTATCAAAAAGAATAAGGAATTAAAAAAAGTTATAATCTCTATTAAAAATGCTCATTTTTCAAAAACTTTCATTTCCACAATTATTTAATGTGTTAAAATTAAAATTTGTAGAGTTGTATTTCTATATTCTAAAATATTTAAAGTATATTCAGTAATGTTTTTACTTCAAAGAACAAAAACTGTGAATACGTGGCAAAAATGCGTTGAAATTATTTCAATCCGGTGACCATTACACTCTAAAAACTATCGGTATGGATTTAACATTATGCAATATCTACATATAATTCTCATTGTTATGTTAATATTAACACCAACATAATATGAATTTAATGAATTTTTAAATCCACATCATGGCGTTAATGTTAACACCAAGACGGCGAGAACTATACACCGTATGGCGGTAGCATTAAAGGTATGTTAGATCCACACTGATCTTTTTGAAGGTGTACGGAACTTTCAAGAGATTACAAAGGATCAATAGGTAGGAGAATAGCGAATCGCTGATCCGGGATTAATTGGCGTACTCGCCAGGTTTCAGCGGATGACTGTCGACCCGCCAAACCGGTCGTAAATGATACCAGCGATGAATCGCTTCTTCAACTGTCGCGGCAGAGCATCACGCTCGTGCGATAAATCAATCGGACGCGCTGTTCGCGTTCCGGCGCATCAGCCGCGATGAAAGCGAGCGTGACTCAATCGGCGCGTTAACGCGTGCTTAACAACAAAAAAATGCCACGCTATTATTGTGAAAATCCGCGTTGGTGTTTCGACTGTACGACACAAAGCGTCTTGTAATGACTGTCTGTCTTACGACGACTCCGCTGATGATAGCGCGGAGCAGATCAAATCCCGCGATAAGAAATCGTCACGGTCTGATTACGACTTCCGTGACTTTCCGTGAAGTCGGTTTAAAATACTATCGCGAACATAATTCCCTGACTTGGTTGCGAATTTTCCTTTTCTATAATGTAGACATCGTTTTCTTAAAATGAAGGAAATTTTATTTCCTGCCATTTTTTCCTGTAAATTCTTGTATAATATGAATTTAGATCGATGAGAACAAATCTAATTAAATAGACGAAATTTTATTTACTCAATTAAATTTCTGTAAATTGTCCTGATTTTTGTACTCAGTTCAGTTCTAAATTTTAAGAGTTATTAAACAGAATTAAGTTTTTAACAATATTTGATTGTTAATTTGATTAAAACATTATTAAGCGGAATTAAAATTTCTGTTGATAATACTAGTACTATTACGAAGACTTAGATTAGCTGTATAAATTCCTATGGGAAGAGAAAACGAAGTTTTAGAATTTCTACTTTGTATTATGTTAACTTCCAATCTTGATTGCTAGGAAGCTGCGTAAATGCTATTGCCGACTTATCATCTCGTCTAATAACGTTAACCGCAAACGTTCTTCGTTGGTGGTAATTTTATCGTAAGATTGAGATGTAATAAAAAGTCACCAGCAATGTGAGAAAGTATAAGTTACTGAGAGAGCAGCCAAATTAATTATAGCAATTTTCAAGATTATAGATTAAATACTATTTTCCGAAATATAAGATTAATCAAAATGCAATAAAATTTTCTGCGACAACCAAGCTATATAATTTACATCTCTCTTGTCTCCTTAAATATTCCTTAAAGAATAAAATAAATTTTGTAAAGAATAACACTTTAGATCTTGCAATTATTTTTCAGCGCCTATTTCAGGCAACTATCTACCACCGTCAACCAGTTACGGCACACCTAATCTAGGAGGTGGCGGTGGTGGAGGTTATTCCGGCGGCGGCGGTGGAGGAATATCGACGAGCTACGGTGCGCCTTCAGGTGGCGGCGGCGGCGGCGGCGGCGGCGGCGGTGGCGGTGGTGGCGACTCTACGATTTCTCATCGAGAATGTCGGTCGTGTTTCGCGATTCTCGTGGAAATCTGGATTTGCGGCCGGGGGTTTTCACTCG